GTTTTGTGAAGCACGTCAATTCTCTCCTGGGGAGCGTCTTCGTGAGCCTCTTATGGTTTCAGGATAGTTCAAATCCTATGATGTTCCGATTCAATGCTCACCGATGATCTGAGCCATGGGGCAAGTTTGTTTTCCTAAGAATCTTTTTGAACATTTCGAGAGCACATGTTTGAACATTTAAAGTGCATATGAACATATATTTACGAAAGGTCGCCTCTGAGGGGATAAATCACCATGTCGAACATTGCATTTTTGTTCCTGCCTCTCGCATTCTCTTCTCTTCCCGCTGTCCTATCTTTCGTGTCTCCTTCCTCTCAAGTACAACCACCCCAAATTCGGCTTGATATTTCTCGCCGGACACATCATTCTACACGATGGATATTTATATTATCCCCGTATCTTGGGGATCTGTCACAAAATATTATTTCTATTTTTTTTTCCGAAATTATACGGAACGGCAGATTGGCTGACCTTTGCATTGGATATTATTTGGATTATAATTTATCAAAATTACATGTTTTAAAAGATTGGGATTATAGGAATTTATTTATAATTTAAATTTTGAATGAATTGGATATTTTGCAAATAGAATTTAAATATAAGCTTTGATATATAATTTTTTTAAAATTAGGATTTTATTACAAAATATTGGGAATAATTAATCTATTTTTATATATTATATTCGAAATATATATTTGGAAATAGGATATTATTTGGAAAAATAAACAATATATGAAATGGAAGAAATATTTATTACAATATTTTAGATGGAGGTATTTAATGATGGTTTTTAATTTTGGTATGTTTTGTTCGAATTATTAAAGAAATTACATTTTTAATATTTTGCGATTAACAATTATTGTAACAGGATAAAATCACGCCATTTTAATGGGAGAACATCGTACGATTTGAAAGCATCGTACGATTTGGGACTCGTGGGGTGGCGTTATATTTTGATCGATTTTGAATTGAATTTTTAACTTGATTAGCCACCCGTATGGTGTTATTTTGGCCTTTGATTGCGCTATTATTTGGTCACCTGAGTAATCCGGTTTAGCTCTAAAAACCCGAGGATTCGGCGCGAGGATTATCCATCTGGCGGGATGGGAGCAACCGTGAATATACACTTTTAGACATTCTTACGCAATGCCATGAGGCATGGGCGTCGTCGGGCATAGGCCTTGTTGAGTTATGTTTACGATGGAATAAATTGAAGCGCTCATATATTAGAGGTTATATTAAATTTTGGAATTTAATATATAATATAAATCATTTAAGACATACTTGAAAATCAATATATATTTTTTTGGATGAATATTGACATTTGGAACTATAATTTATATAATCTATTTTTATAAATAAAAAATTTGAAAATAAAGGCAATTATATTGATATTAATAAATAATTAATGCATTTATATATTTATATGGAGATTTGGACAAGGACGAAGGGAATATTGAATTTAATTGCTTTCAATTGAATCAAATAAACAGATTTTGAGATAAATTATAAATGTACATATTAAATAAATAGAATTATTACGAATAAACAACGCTATTTCTGGGAGTCAACAATTGTTAATTTTTTCTTCATATTTCAAGAATTGAATCATTTTTCAAATTTTATCAATATTTTTGGTGATTTACATAATTCAATTATTCAAATTTCATAATTATTCCTTCTATATATATATATATTTATCCTCAAATATATATCCAATATTTTGATACCTTTTTCCACAAATAAATAAATAAAACAGAGAACGCTTAAATTTCTGAAAAACGATTTAGTTTTCTTTTAGAAGTTCAAACCATGGAAATCATCGTTTCGTGCAGCTTTTGCGGCCGAAATCGCCGAATTAGCCACAGTCAATGTGGCGTTGTGAACTAGTAATAATAGTAGTAGCAGCAACAGCAGCAATAGCAGTAGCAGGAGGAGGAGTAGGTTCATAGGTAATAATAAGCAATAATAAGTAGAAACAAATCGGAATTAAGTATGCCAGTAAATGAGTCAGTCAATAAGTAATTATGTAAATTAAAAATAAGACAATAAATAAGAAAATAAGAATGAAAGAATATAAATAAGTAAATAAATAAGCAAAAAATAAGTAAGTAATTTGGTTCGTTAATTAGTTAGTTGGTTAATTTATTAATTTGCTTTTAATTAATTAATTAGAAATAGGAAGGACGGTTGTGATGCTCCTGAATTGCAGCAGGTGCCTTGCCACTCCAGACCTGTAACTCCAATTTGTGATATCACATTCGCCAATGTGGTACGTGCCCCTCCACTTACAGATCCGATTCCGTACACCGACATCATATTATTGAGATATCCGTCCTCGATCTTGGATTCAATTTCAATGTTTGATTTATTTCCGAATTTTTATATACCGTAAATATATAATAAATACTGCCCAACAAACATCCTATCCTAGAGGGGAGGAGCTAATTACCAACCATGTTCTCCAAAATCGATATTTAATGGATCATATATATATATATATTACGATATTTTTGCATCTATCTTAACGTAGATTTTGCAATAAAAATTGCTTTATATCTATTCCTTCGAAGATAAACATATCCATACAAAATATCAAGGCATTCCTAAAATTGCCCACTCTGGCTACAAAAGCTCCAATTCTGCAAAATTAATAAATATATTAATGACATATTTCCTCGATGGAAAAAATATACAATCTAATCCCTAAAAACCTTAATTACAAAATATTGTTCTTTTCCTTAACAAGAATATCGTAAATCATTCCTAAGCTATGAAATTCAATAATACTAGCATTTTACAAAAATTATCCGCCTCAAACATAATTAATTATTTATCATTCCATAAATATATTCTTATTTCCTTTCGGAGAATTTCGTTAAATTCAATTAATTCCGATTTTTCTATAATTTCTCCACAATATCATCAATTATCGGCATTTCCACATCCTAAATATACGGCTTCTATCTATATTAAGAAATTTTCTTGAACAAGAAAATAGACTTTTGGGGGAAATAACTATTTCTAGACTCTATTTTTGCAAAAAAGACGGTTCTTTTTAAATACATACTAAGTTCTAATTTAAAGAACCTTGCCACAACTTCAAAATTATGATATTTTTATACCGGGCCGTGGCTAGGAGCCAACAGCTCAATCCATGGGCTACAACCTTCCAAAAAATTCGGAAAAATAGATTCTAACCTCTCTCCAGCTACAGGATAATGAAGGCTCGTTTTTATTCAATTGCGATCGTAGTGATACCTAATTAAAAGCCCCTCTTCGTGACACCAAAAGTCTGAGATGAGCGGCTCAAAATTGAAGACTCCGATGCAACGTCTAATGGGTTTTAAACCGAATTCAAACCATCCGAGAGGACAGGTTGGGCATTCAATAAAATTCGGAAAAAGGAACATTCAATCCTCTCTCCAAGATCTATAAGATAATGAAGGATCGTTTTTAATTAGGTACCATTGTGGTCGTAATTCGGCACGCCCAATACTAATCAATTGCGACCGTAGTGGTACCTAATTAAAAATTTCTCTTCGTATTATCAAAAATCTGAAATGAGGGGAGGGAAGGAGGGAGAGAGGGAGGGCTCAAAATTAAAGGCTCCGATGAGACTTCTAAAGGATTTCAGATCAGGATGAGATCTCCCGAGAGGACAGGTTGGGCATTCGATAGGGTTCGGAAAAAGGAAAATTCTAATCTCTTTCTAGGATCTACAGGATAATGAAGGTTCGTTTTGTATTAGGCACTATTGCGGTCGTAATTCGGTACGTCGAATATTATTTAATTGCGGTCGTAATGGTACCTAATTAAAAATCTATCTTCGTGATACCCCCCCCCCAACTTGCGCTTCAATCCGTACGCGCCTCTAGAACCTTCCCTTTTAGGGGATATCAGAGGTCAAACTATACACCAAACCTATAACAACATATGCAACGAAAGCCGCAAAAGACACCCGGAATATTCCCAGGGTAACCTCAACGCGAATTAACGGAGCATGGCAAACGAAGATCATAATTTCTAAGTTATAAATCAAAATTGATGATATCCAGGTATTTATGCATACGAATATACTTCTTAATTCTTTGGTAGAGATTATGATACTTAGCAAATGGGATATCTGTTAGTAAATGATTTTCATACAAAGCATACGAAAGGTTCGAGATAAATGGAAATCGAATATTAAGGAGATACGGCTGCCCTGGGGGGATTACATATTCATATAATAATTGGATGGCAAGCTCACGCTGCGGCAACTTCGGACGCGATACGATGCCCCCCCATCAAATTACGATGAAAATCTAAGCGAACCATGTTGACGTTCCCACTTTTGTATATTTAGGAAATAATTTCGTCTTATTTGAAATATTAGATTATATTTAAAAAGAATATTAATTTATCATTTCCAATTTTTTAGGGGTATTTCTAAGAAAGACAAATCAAATGGATATATTAATTGGTAATCGTAAATTTTTAAATATATAGGCATATATCACCCCACAAAAAACATAAAATAAATGAGAAATTTATATTATATTATATATTTAATTTTCAATATCGGCAAATCTAAGAATTTCATTATATATAAGGGACGGTGAAAATTCCTTATTTTTCTTCAACTAAAAAATGGACGTCATCGATTTTGAGGTTAACCTTATCATTTTACAACGTTTTAAATTCGTCGCATACTTATGTCCATATACAACGCTAGGGTTATTAGTTTTAAGGTAGACCTTATCGTTTTGCAAGGCTCATATCATTTTAAAAAATATTACTACCAACATTTAGCGATCTATAATTCAATACGATACGCATATATTATAAATCTTTAAAAATTCTTCCGAAAAAAATCCATGTCAATTTATCAATTTCCTATTAATAAAATATAAATAAATAGAACATTATTTATAAATAATCGTCCATTTATTAGACATTTTACAATAAAAGAATTTCTTAAAACAATAATTCAATTTACATAATTCCAATAATATTTTAAAAACAAACTAAATCCAAATTCAATTCATCCAATTTTTTTTTAATCATTCAATAATATACGAAAAAATAAAAAAAACACAAATAACATAATTATTTCAAATCTATTACTAAAATATATTCATAAATTAATTATAATTTAAACATATTCTAAATTATATTAATTTTTTCTTAATCAACTAAACCAATTATATAATTAGAATTATATCTACGAAATCTTATTTATAAAATCATCAATAAATTCTATAATATCGATAATATTCGCCTTCGCCTTATCCGTCAATTTTTCGAAAATCATCTTCGATATGTTATTCTTCTAAAAATATTCAATTATATCGTCGATCAATTTTTTAATATTATCAATAGACTTATAATCATTTCTAATTCCTTCTCCTCCATAATATCGTAAATTATCACAAATAAATTCATTCTAAATCCCCATTACCTCGCATCCCCCCCACCACCCATCTCCCTAATTTCCTCCCCCATCCTAAACGACGCATCAACAAGAAATAACGAAAAAACTAACTTAAGACATTTTAAGACCAAAATAACATATTACACTTAGATTTTGTTTCGTTAGTATTTCTTTTTGAAATACATCATTATTTCGCAATTAGTATATTTATATCAATATTTAGTTATTAATATAACACAACTGACCGAATATATATATATCTATAATTCATTATTTGATACATTAAATAATTGAATATTATTCATTTTTCAAATATACAATATTGTATTTAATTCGTAATTTCCAAATCGCGTCTCATTTCTTCCACCTCAGGATTATCAATATTCCAATTTCCACGCGGCAAGCGAAAAAGCAAATATTTTTGAACAATATTAGTAATATTCAATCAATCAATAGAAATTGATGGAAGCAATCGTTGAAATAAGAACCATAATGTCAGCAATTCTCCTCCAACTATCTCCAAGTGTTGTCTTTGCAACTTTATCCAAACTCGCCTGCGCCTTCAGCGAATCTCGCTCCAATGTTTGTTGCTGCAACAAATCCTCACTCTCGTAGGGTCAATGATGGCTCTCTTTCAAAAACCCAGAAACAACACTGATGCCCAAAATGGAACATTTACTAGTGTGTAATCTTAGCATCGGCGAACTCCGCCGCAACCGTGGCTTCGTGATTTGCGGCTTCTTGCTGCAAGTCCTGGAGACAAAAAGCCAATATTCATCAATATTCATACTTTACTTCAGTCAAAACATGGGGAGATCCATGGAGATCTGTTGATGGCGAAGAGCTGGAACAAATCTTGCAAAGATCACTGGTTTCTTTTCGACTGAACCATGAATGCGAAGAACGCTCGACACGCACGCAGGTGGAGAACGGCCTCTAAATGCCGTTCGAGCTCTTCCAGGAGCGGCGCAGCTTCAGCACTCGCAGAATGCACATCAGCTTCCACTTTGGAAAGCTCCTGGAAGCATTCAACTTGGCCAACTTTGAGTCCATCAACATCCCTCCCCAGATGGGATCTGACACAAGTGGGTACACAAGGAAAGCCATACCATACCTTTCAAGGACATTGCTCTCCTCCAAAGGTTTGACACATTCATGACCTGTGCGATTGGAGGCTTGTTACTTCGATCGGTATTCTGCCGGAGGATACATCTGCTCTGAGGATGGACGCGTGCGCGAGTGCAAGAACTTTGGAATGCACATATGAAAAGCGACTTAAAACAAATCATTCAATGCTATTCATGCAAGTGTTATTCCTGATCTTTTTGTATCACATAGCAGGCTGGCAAGCTGCAGCAAGCTACAGCCACATCAACCCTCTAAAAAAGATTAGCTCAACCCACGGACATCGGATAAAAAGAGCTGTAGGTCGGTAGCCAAACCAGCATTAAGCATCCGGCCAAAAACGAAAGGAACCAATCAGATCACCATTACTATAGATCACTGGGGTCGAAAGCAAACATTTCCTGTTTGGCGACGTGGTCGTAAGACGTACCAAGTCAGCGCGATTCAGGCCCCCAAACATGGAAGTTTGTGTTGATTGTTCGCACAAGAAAGTTGGTTCTTCATGTAAAACAACAACTCTAGTACCACCTGCCTCAAATCTGATGCTTTCCATTGTTTTTGCAGCGATTCTTGATGATTCTTGTGTAGCAGTGCTAAAAAATGCCTGATGCAGATGTGAACTCTGTGCGCAACTATATTGAGTTTCAAGAACACGTCAGACTTCAAAATCATTTTAATAACTGCAATATATATATATATACATATTTCTTGGGAGTTCTGACTAGATCTCTTGGATCTGTTCTGCTAAAGTCACCTTTGTGGAAGTTACAGCAAGTTGCAGCTGTCGGAGCTGTAAGCTCTTCCAACTCCGCTGTCGGAGACTTATGGGTCGCCCAAATGGCTCAGTCCAAATGGGCGACCTCATCCTTTCCAATTGATAAACAACAACGAAACAACTCAATCAAAGCGTGTTCTTTCGTGGCCCAACAAACACCGTTGTACAACACTTGCAGGCCCCCCAACATCACCCAACGGTCGCTGCTCTTGGCCTTTTCGGATCAACAAGAGAGAAGCTCTAGTGGGTTGAGAGTAGATGGCACCATCTGCAATTGTCGGTTTATATGGACCCCCATTCCCCCATCATCTAAAAGACATCTTGAGGGCCCAAGAGTGCCATCGAACCTCCGAAACCATCGGTGCTTCTATCGGTGCCTCGGTCCCTCGATGCCTCTCCTCTTCGAGTTGGCGACGCTGCGTTCGCATTTGGCACATCCTCAGCGTCTGCTCGTCCGCTCCACGGCTGGTCACTGGGCTGGTCTGGGTTGGTTCCGCGAACGGAAAACGTGGACAAAAGAAACCAAGTTCCTGACTGTTCCTGTAGTGGGATTTCTTGGGATTGACAGGTGGAAGTCACAAAAGCGAGCCCGAGAACCCACAAGATGTACTCCCATGCGGTTCTGTACTTTGGGCAAAACGGTGAATTCTGACCTTGCCTCATGTGGCCGGTCATGGCCGGAAGTCGGGTTCTTCAGGTCTCCTCTCCACACCCATAGGTGAGTTGCCCAAACTACCCGATCCCAAAAGCTCAACAAAGCGACGCAAAGTAATCCAAATGATACTTATACTATCATCCTATACTTGTTCGCCAAGATGGGCCAACTGAATGGCCCTGTGAAACCCAACAAACTACCTCGGCCAATGCGGGTGGTCGAACCACCCCGTCTTGGTCCCAACATGGAACTCATCCGCCCAATCGGTGCCCGCCCTGCTTGCTCCACCACTCCCGCCACCCTCTTCGGAAGCCGTGCGTCTCTTGGCCTCGTCGGGCGGAGCCTTCGGCCAGTTTCTGTTGCAAGTCGATGAGAACGTGCCGGCACTCCTGAAGCTCATCTTTCACGATGTTCCTCGGTTGTGAGGTGTAATTCTTGAAGACAAACTGCACAAGCGCAAGTGCAAGGATGTGCAAGGTGCCCGCCTACAAACACGCACTCAGCCGCAAATCATCCCAAATCTGAGGTTGTGTCACCAAATACACACAGTGGGCAAAACGGCGGACATGTTTATGGCCTCCTCGCTCCAAAAGCTCTGCCCAGTGGCTCTGCAGCTTCCATCAACTGTTCGGCCAAGCGCCCTGTGGCACCCTCTTTGCCTCAGAATGTTCGTCGTCTTCCACCGGACCATGTTGGCAAAGGCCCAGTCGCGTGGATCTAGGAATTCGTACCAGGGTTTTCGTGGGTCTGCAGCATCCATGGTTGATGCGCCCTTGGAACCACTGGTTACGTGCTTTCGACTGGACTCATACAAAAGGCTTGGGGCGAGTCGGAGGGGCACCCAAATTGGTACAGTAGGAATACTGTGAACAAACACTTGCAGAGCTGCCAAGGGTTCTTAGAATGATCTGAATCCAAAGTGATTCGTAAGCAAAGCTGCCATTCGTGGGCCGCGCGCGACGGGCACCTGGCCCGCTGCCGGCTGGTCGGCCTGCCGTGCAGTGTGTCGCTTTGGTGCTCTTCCTGCTTGAGTCGGATTGGCCATCTCAGTTTGACTTGTAATGCCATGTCTTGTTTCACAAGAAAATACATTTAAATACTTGTAATGCAAAAAGGCGATACATTAAAATACATGTCTTGTTGCACAAGGCGTGATTTCCGAGGACGCGTAATGGACGCACACATGGCAATCACATGCAACCATCACAACTTACAAGTGGAGAATTGGCTTTGCACCAGACCTGTCATCAGATCGCTTTGGCCATACAATTTCGCATGCAGCACGCCGCGCGCGAAGGATAACTCCCGGCCGGCCTTCCAAATAGCCATGCAATTGCTCAGCCTTCCGCACGATCCGCCCCAAGGCCTGCTCAGCAGCCACTGACATAGCCATCTGCCGCCTGGGTATGCAACGGTCGAGAGCTTTTCGCACGACATCTTCAGTCAAAGTGACACGAGGCTCTGGTCGTAGCTTCTTCCGTTCGTGACAGCCTCTAGAACTAGAGCCTGCGCTGAATGCCTGAAAGTCAAACAATTATAGAACTAAAAACCCTCATGGAATGGGAGTCCCTGATTGCGACCTTCTTCAGGTGCAACTGATGATGTGGGCTCTGGGATTCTCGTGCTTGGGTGGGTGGACTAACCACAGGCTTGGGCTGCTCAGTGAGCTGTTCTCCAACTTCAGGTGGGGGAGACTGCTCAGAGTGGCAATCTGTGTCTTAAGCTTCCGATGTGTTCAATCAGATTTATTTGAGCAATCTGTGCTTGTCGTAATGGTGGCTTGTCTTTTTCTGTCATTAGGCGGAGAAGACCGAGGATGGATGTGGCTGAAGTGAGCTGAACCTGTGGAGGTTTCTGGCAATTTGCTTTGTGTTGTGGTTTGTCTTTCATAACTTTGTCGTGATTCATGGTCCACAATGGTCAGTAGGGACACGTGGTGGTTTGAGGTTGGACAATTGCGGACAATCTATGATGATTTGATATGATTTGTCATGGCATCTGGTGATTTCTGTTCATCCATGGTGCTTGGTGTTCAGAGAGTGGTGCTCAAAGATTCCCACATATGGAAGTATGTGGGACCATGGGAATCGATTCGGCTCTTTCACTTTGCCCGGCGGGCCCTTTGATAGACATATTCAATTAAACCCCATTAAACTGACCAAGTGAACATCTATTCTTGTGACACGGGAGGTCCATGGAAAACGACATCTTTGAGGAGGTCAGAGTCACGGTTAGAGTTGACCCCCTACTTCGTCTGAACTGCTCCTGACCGAGCTCGTCCGGACGAGCTCGTCCTGACGTTCCGCCGGTGGGACGTCATGCCGGGCGGCAGGCTGCTGGGCGGCAGAAGCTTGGTAAACTCGTCATGGGCTGTCTGAGCGAAGTCAATGGGAAATGCACCCTCTGTGATCCCTGCCCATGAACCTACTGGTAGACCCACAGTGAACTCCCTAGGCAGCAAACTCAAGCATACCAAATCGTACAAAATCAAACTCCCTAAAGTTAAAACGGTCCCAACAACTTTAAACTCTTTTGGACTGAAATCGATCGCTTCGTGCGCAACGCGCAGGAGGTCGAAAAGCCATGCCTTCAGCTGCGTCGAGCGGCGCTGCGCTTCCCTGCGCGGTCTACATCGCCCATCACCAGAGCGTTGGGAACGCCAAAACATGCGGTGTCTACATCCCCCATGAGGATCATCCGGTTTTCGCCAAAGACATGAAACCGGAAGTTATACAGAAGACACAGAACCACACTAAGGGTTGTTGAAGTTGTTGGCTTGATGTCATGTTGTCGAAAGTGTTCACACGCCCCACTTTGCGGGCCCAAAGTAGCACTCAGGTCCATGGGGCCTTCCCTGTGGCTTCTCATTTCTCCAGGACACCCACCACTGTCTTGGGATTTCGTGGGCAATACAATACTTCTTCTCAATGAATACACAGCTGCTTGGGCTTTTATAGTCTTTAATGTCAATTTCTTTCTCATTGTAAACGAGTTTGAACGTATCTTTGAGGGAAACGCCCCCCAAAACGCGTTCTTCTTCTTTCGAGGTCACTACCTCCCGCCGCATCGGCCAATCCCACACATCCACACAAAACGCCCGTCTCCTCAAGAGGTGATCCAACGAGCGGAGTCTGACGAACTTGGCTGACAAGCAAGGCACAAACCGCGCTTGTCAAAGCTCAAAAGATCTCTTACTCGTGGTAAACCATGTAAAACCCATCCCCCTGTGGCTGGTCGCCGGTCGAAAAGCTGCAAACACCAGCCGCCTCAAGTCTGACAGCTGTTGGTCCAAAGACTGCACCACTGCCTCTCAGCAGGCCAAACACTGGGACATGCTCATCATGATGGCCGAGGAAGAACAAGACTATTTATATAATCACTTGGCAACAATCCCAGAACATCCCAGAACTGATTCTCCGGCAATCTCATCATGATCACTAAGTGAGCTCACTTGGCAGAACAATGCTATACAATGCTCATCATCATGGCCAACGCAGTTCTCTTTTTCTCAGAACATTCTCATCCCTGCCCAGCAAAAGCTTTGGGGCCGGGCCTTGGAAGCATCTTCCAATGCCGCCCGCTCAGACATAACCCTGAGACGTGATACGAAGATCGAAGGGCAACCAGTAAGTCTGACCTCAAGTTTATGTTCAGTACAGGCCTCAAAGGCAGCTCATGCCTCGAAATGATTCGATCAACTGCTTGCTCGGATCTTTTTGTCGGTCACGGCCCATCATCACTGAAGCACCAAATCTCTGTGTAACTTCTCTGACTTTACCGGAAGAAGCCCACGTCATGCTTTGAAGAAAAAAGGACTGATAATGGAAAACCAGCTTGTGCAATTCTGATTTGCGTGTGCCACGGAGTAGGGAGCTACACCGTCAGCCGCAAAACAGTGACGTTCGCATAACCGCTGAGTGCGTGACTGAAGATTTAAGTTTCATTCATCCACTCTAAGTTTGCAGGAGTCAAGGCATTTGCACCCCCCGGCTTTTCTTGTACATGTATACTTATAGTCTATCATCCATTCATCCATTCGCTTTTCGCTCTGCAAGAAACCGTGGCCGCTCTCGCGCCCCATACCCCAGCGGCAGCGATCCGGTCGAACGAACGGCAGCGACCGGCAGTGACGGGGACCCAACGCCCGGTGGGTCGGCATTCCAAGCCGACGGGACCCACCGCAGGTTCCGTGGTTGCTTAAAGACAAGTTAAACATGTTCTTTTTTTGTGGGAGCCAAACCGCCAGAAAACCACCAACACACACATGTCACATACATGTCCACATGAGCTGTATATTAAGGTTTCTATCGACACCGTCTCGACACCGTTTCGACACTGTCTCGCCACGGCACACGTCTCGACGCTTGCGAAGCTCCGCCACGTCGCTTTGCAAAGCGTTGAGCACACTCAGTTCGTCGGCCTCGCCGCGTTGAGCGGGCCGTTTTGGGGCCACGACGAGCTTCTACGCTCGGCACGACGAGCGCATGCTAGCACTAGGGGCCATGGGCATTCCGTTTTTCGATGGGTAGCGATCGTTGAGATTGCCAAATGAGCTTGGGGATGTGGCCTATTGGATGCATTCTCCTGTGAAGATCTGATCATTTCCCGCAAGATAGACTCATCTAAAGTGGTGCTACGTGACTCAATCAGTTGTAGCAGGTACGCATTGCCGTCCGTGCTCCAAAACTTTCAGCAGTCAGCTGCACATACGATCCAGTTCCTGATGACAGTAGAAGTCATTATGTGCTGAGCTTCCCGTCAATTCGAGCGACTGAACACCACATCCACCAGCGAAAACCCTCGGGTCCTGCCTGGGATGCAAACTCACTGCGATGTGCATCAATCTCTTCCTTGCAACCAGCTGCAGCATTCTGGTGCTCCTGAGCATGCAGGACGTGTGACTTCTGATCTTCTGCTTTGTTACGATGACGCATCCATGCGAATGTCCTTCTCGCCGAATCCTCCGAGTCGTGATCCGACCAAGCACAGCACACTTTCAGACCGGGACGCCTTGGTTTTCAGTTCATCTGCATCGGCCAAATCTCGCAAGGCTTTGGCCTGCAATTCCACCTGCTCCAATTCCTCCTGGCAGAACATGCCATTGGGGTGTGTGTTGAAAGGGGAGACCTCCCTGAAAAACCCGGGAAGGAGGACCACCGACCAGTGAGTCGATGTAGACTCGATATCCATCTAGCCATCGATCCGCAGGCCAATATATATATATATATATATTATATATATATATACCAGGACCCTCAAGGAGTGGTTAATGGACGCCCCTTGACCTCTCAGGGGCTATTAATGGACACCCTTTCCGTGGTGCTGATATATATATATATATAGAGAGAGAGAAAGGGAGTTTCCATGTTGAACTTGCACCTGGAACAAGCAGAACACGCGGAACGTGCATTGAAGCGGGCCATACCCGGCCACCACCTAGCCATACCCAGCCCGACCCAGTCAGTCCTCCAAAGGTTGGAGTTCTTCGAGCAGGACCCTTCGCTCCACCTGCCCGAATCGGAGAACAAACACTAAGCCAAACACGAATCGTCTTTTGCTAGGGAGCTCTTGAGTACAAAACTATTGAACAACAGTCACATCTCCTTGTTGCACAAAAAGCATCACGCTTTGCTACAGTAGTTTTAGATTCTTGCGCAAAGACCAAGGCCTGTTGAAAGGACAAGTTAGCAACTTAGCACTCAGAAGGTTCTTAGCTGCAATGAAACAACAAATCAGGCAGCCTCCAGTCATAAAGTTTCTCAATATCTTTTGATGTTTGTTCTAGGCAAGGTTCTCTATATACATGCTCAAAACACAAGTGGCGACAAAACCAAAGGGGCTTTCTTTCAGCCAAATGAATCCCAAGGCGAGCAGTTGGAAAATATCGAGGTCCCTTTAACGAACCAAACATCCAAGCGAAAAAACCAAAGGCGGTGCAACCTTCATCTAACTTTGGTGGGGCGTAGTCGCCACCATGCCAACTCTTGCCCTTGAACCTCAATGCTGACATGTCTCCTCGAATTTACCTACTTTAACCTTAACTTTTACTTTAACGGGTGATGGAAGGGACATCGGTCGCCCCTTCGGTTCTCTGATTGACAAACGTCTGCCTCGAAACGCTCCGTGTCCTGCTCCAGCGTACTCAAACGCACTCGCGCCTTCATCGCCTGCGGCGAGCCATGCACAGCAAATATTTTACTCACGTTGATTACAATGTGCACATTGCAATAGAAAGGCTCCATCTAGCGTGCAAGGGAATAAACGATGATGAAGGGCTGCTGTTTGGGAAAGTCAAGGGGCAACAATGCCTACAGTGTCTAATGCTTAGGGTGGCGAAGGGTACGCTGCGGTAAGCTAGCTTTCGGCTTTCGGGGTGGAAAAGCACAGTGTCAATGGGGGATATCTTGCCCGGCAAGGGCGTAGAATGGTGGAAGCTGATCCAGCAGCGTGGAACACCTGTAGTTTTCGGAGGATCTCAATCGTTATGTGAGGGACTCTTGTGGTATAGTCATTGGAATTGCTCTTCGACCCGAAACTTGCCGGCATTTCGGCGTGGGAAAAAGAAGCAAGTTCATTGTGGAATCCTGTCTGCACACACGAATCACATGATTGTTTCTTGTTATATAAATACACAGGGTCTTGACCGCCGCTCGCCCTCAAAACCCTTTCTCTGTGTCTCCATGCAGGACCTAAACTGGCAGCCCTAAGGCCCTAAGGCACAAGACTACGGCCTTCTGTATCTGAAGATAGGTTTGAAGGTTGACTTCCCGACTACATATCACATCCACTAAGTGCTGTTGCGAAAGAGGATTCAAAACCATTTTGACAGCAGGAGCTGTTAAAGCTACCAGAACATGCATTTCATCCGTTTTGAAACCCAATCCAAATACATTACAGGGTGTACCTCATTTACGTACATATGTCATCAGTTGTCATCATATGTCCATACACACAAGTACAAGCAACAAGCATGCCTGTTGAACTCTGAAGTACCCCCGTTTTACACCCACCCCCTATCCCAACGTTAGCACCATGGAACACGACTCATTCTGTGGAAGACCTAGCTCCTGATCTTCAGTGTCAGGCACTCAATAGATGGAAACGTGACATAGACTAAGCCTGTATCTATATAACAACCAACCAGTTCATGCAATGTCCATCCTTTTTGGCCTCTGTCAACTATGCTCAAGCAGTGCCCTCGAACCAACTTTGTTAGGCCAAACGTTTTCTGGGCGCCCCCGTCTGTGCCCTGACTGCAGGTTACCTTGGATTAGCAGGGTGAGCCAGTTCAGGGCACTTAGACATAAACCGCGTCCATGCTCGGGTCTGAATGTCGGGTGCATTTCCTGGCTGACCGCACATCCTCCTTTGAGAGAGTAATGTAACAGACTCACTTGTAGACTCTTGATTAATAAAACCTAAGACATCTTAATGACATCTTATTATTATAGAAGTTATATATGTATATATTACTATATGATTCATTATGGGAGGGTTTATTAATCAAACGTCTACAAGCATGAGTTTCGAGATGAACACCGCACACAGCATCGCCGTCGCTGGTCCTGTTCCCGGAGCTCTTCTTCTTGTTGGAAGAATCGCTGCTCGCTGCTTTCCAGCTCTGCTTCTCGCCGCTGCAGCTCCTGCATTTCCCGCTCCGCCTTGGCCAGCCGAAGTTGTGCAGCGGCTCGACGTGCATCAAAAGCGCAGAAGACAAACATGGAGCTCTTGACTCAGCTTCGAGGACTATGCTTGCATTGCCTACAAAGATACTTTTGGCAAAGCCGTCCATATACCACTTGGGATTTGAGCAGGGGGTCATGCGTCTTTGTAAACTTGGTCGCCTCACCGCATGTAGGCCTTGCAAATATATATCAAAGATTGTCTGCCCCTCATTCGAACGCCTACTTGAAAACGTGCCTCACAACTCGTAATGAAGAACCTTTGCATTGGATTGCCAGGGCACCAACCTTTTCATTTGGCCAACCCGTCCGCCAATCTTTTCTCACGTCCAAGCCACAGCTTCGCTCTCCTGAAGATGTGCATCCACCTCTGCTTGTAGGCTACCTTGGAACGACTGGCACAGAGTGGCACAGAGTGGCACTGCGACGACATCTCCCAGACATCCAGACTTTGGAGAAAGACAAGAGTAACAAACAAACCATGAACCACTGTAAAACCCCGACCAGATCCAAGCGTTGGTCGCCCTTAAGAGAGCTCTTTGTGCCCTGGAGGGAGGCTGCGCGGATTTCCGATGCAAGTTTTGCAGCTTTTTGAGATGATTTCGTTGGGACCTGCCTTAAGTTGCTCAGTCTTTGAACGTGTTCCATTGGAAACTGCCACGCTTCAAAACCACCTCCATAAATTGATTTAAATTGTACATGTGTAACCCTACATGGAGTGTGACCATTGAGCACCAAAGTCTCAGCATGCAAATCAGCTGCTCGTCTGACTCTTCACACTGCGCAGTTGTTTCGAATGCTGATTCCTCACCTGCAGGTGCCGTTGGACCGGTTTGCCTTTGGCGCCAACACCGCAGGTCTTCGAATCGACTGGTTTGCGGACTCCCATGTTCCGCAACGCGTTTGGCTACAAGAACAGTCAGCTGATGCAAGGTGAACAATCTCCCTGTATCTCCCTGTAATCTCAATTGCTACAAGAAAAAGGAGAATTGGACACGTATTGACGGGGCAGAGGGCTAAATCCAAACCCTTCACCAACCAACAAAGGTCGGGGTCTACTCGGACAAATGATCCCCATGTCAACACTTCTATAGGTTCTTGGAACACATCTATAGTGACAAACTCATTGTTTATTGCATCTGCTGCTTGCAATGCATCCATCAAACTTGACACACTGACACTGACCCTGGTTTTAAAGTAACTATATATTGTATAATATACTGTATTGTCTTTTAATTCTTTTTACGCGTTTCCAGGATGGCATCACCACTTCACAGAGGTGCTTATTTTCCCACCCTTTGGTCCATCATGTCCATCACCAAGCCGTGCACCAGCGCAGTGCCTTGCGCAATGCCTCCTCCGCCGAGTTGAGGCGCTCAGAGGCATCCTTCTGCTCCAGTGTGGCGTGGGAGAGCTGTCCCTGGGCGGAGCGGACAGTGTGGCGTGCGGCGTCTCCAAAGGGGCAACCCTTTTTTGTCGGGATTGTTTTCCGCACTGTTAGTGGTGGTTGCCACAAAGAGAAAAAGAAAGAGAACTAGCGCAGGAGGCAGGAGAACTAGCACGACCCACTCACAGGAAATCCAAGGGGTTTTCCAGTCGGTGGACTCATACAACTCGACATCAAAAGAACATAAAAAATCGAGTTCTTTTGATGTCAGGCCAGAGTTGTAAGGGCCAGACTCTGGCCAGACTCTGGGCAATTCGACCTAGAAAAAATCGGCCAAACTCGTCCGACTTGGGATTGGTTGGAGTATGTTGGAGTGAAAGGACGACTCCTCGGGCTCTCATTTTACAAAACAGGCCTTGGGTTTTATTCAAGCTGACACACTAGGCCACTAGAGCCTGGGGTCTTGGAACCCTCCGAAACCCTTTCTGACCAAATAACACCCAGAAGTTGACCTGTTCCGGGAAGACTCCCTGAACCCGTTGACCCTTCCGACATCCTCCCACCCAAAGGTCCAACGGCGGACGGACCGCGCTCCGCTCGCGCCTCCAATTGCTTCCTCTTGCGCTCCAAGCGCGCGCGGCTCCTCGACACCTCCGGACGCACGGCTCCGGTGAAGGCGAGGCGGATCTCGAAGCGCCAGAAGCCTTCTCTACGTTTTAAGTAACAAGTGCATCGCTACTAGTAACAAAGGCATGACTACTAGTAACAAGGAAGCTACTAGTAGCAAGGTGAATCGCTACTAGTAACAAGGAAGCCAACCACGTGCTTCATGTCTTTAACTCCGGATTCGCAGCAAGGGCTAGTTGTCAGCAACGACACACTTGCTGCAAAACTTTAACAATAAGTCCTTTTCAGCCAGCAGCTTTGCGCAAGAACCACATAGAGCCTCCCCCTGCAGCTTTGTAAGCATGGTCTGGCCTTGGAAGACGGAATGCCGCACATGGTGTTTTCATGTGTTTTCAATGGGCTATACACAGGTAGATATAGACATGGAGAGACGTCACGAAATGTTCTGTGTCTTGACAGTTTTCGTTTTTAGAAGATTAAATATCCTTTCTCTCGAGTTTTGAAAACATGACCTCTTCTCTTCTTACCCCTCAGTCGATTGGGTCATATCAGGTCTCTGCTTGGGGGATTTATACCCTATATAGATTTTCCATGGTGTTTCTCTCCACCAGGACCATCCTGTTTGGGTGTGGAGATCCCTATAGGTGGTGGGCTGGGGGGCGTCCCACACCCAAACAGGATGCTCCGATGCCGCCGTGGATGGAGACCCCGGATGATCCCATGTCCGAGTGCCGAGTCACGTCCCTGCACTGCCTGGCGCGCTGCCTGCACCTCTCGCGCGCTTTTGGCCTTGGTCTCCATGTTGTTGAGGTGCCTTGTGAGGAGTTCCTGCCAAGGACCACGGGATCAAACTCACGGAATGACTTGATATATGACCAAGATGAGAGTGTCCCCATACTCCAAGAAACAAGTCTTGGTATGTCTTGGTCACGTGGCAGGGACCTGTTGATCGCAAAGAAATCTAGCTCATTCTTCCGTGACAAATCCTCGAGTCCACCAAGCCCGTGGGTGCCTCCAATCGCATACACAACTCCTCTCGCTTTCGCCCGGTCTCCTTCACAGGGAAGGGTTCACACGAGACTTCTGAGTGTTCAACTTATGGTTGTCAACACCATACACCCAGGTTACTTGCGCAATCACAGGAAACCCAAAACACAAACCACGCATTTTCGCAGGGGACTTTCCCTCCTTCCGCTACAATGCTGTTTTCACAGGCCCACTCTTGGTGGCCACGTATGGGCTGCTGTGTGGCTCCTCACGACCCAGCTCGAACAAATCCCCCAAACCAGTCTGAGCTGAATTTGGCAGACCCTTGCAAACCCAACGCCTGGTTCGACCCTGGGTCCCAGCCCGGGACAGGTTTCACAACAGAGGTGTTCAAAAGCCAGCGCACACATTTGGCTCTACAAAGCAATCAAACAACAGGCAGTAGTTCTGTGCAATTATGACATACTGGTGAAGTAGTCAATGTGCATCCGGGTGCTGTTGGATTGCCGGAGATGCTCACGATAGTCAAGAATTGTCAGGAGGCTGGCCTAATGAGGCCTCACTTTGTGGCACCAACAACACTGTAGATCAACATGCTTTTGAATTTTCCGAAACCCGCGCACGACACACCTGCTAAATCCCCCCGACGATTGCTGTCCTTCACATCCTCCTCCAGCTGTTTTACAGAGTTCTGGATGGATTTGAAGGCTGACTCCCCTTGCTCTAGGGAAATTAAACTGTCTCCAGTCTTTCGGACACCTGCACACGAACACCACAAACATCCACAATCAATCACAAAACACAATGTGCAAAACAGCCAATCTGGGCCAGTCTGCTGATATCCTTTTCATGTTCCTTATCACTGTTGTCTGTCTCTCTCTCTCTCTCTATCCCTCATCCATTCCTTGGTCTGATAGAGCCGAAACAAGTGAGAACTCTGAATCCTCCAACGTGCCAAATCGTGCCTGCACTCAGCAGCAGCTCGTGGATTTCATGGGCGGTTTCTGAAATTCGTGCGTGGTGAGCATTGTTCACTTTGGCTCTCTCCTGGCCGGAACACGGGAAGTTGCGCCACCCTGATCCAACAACTGTTGAGAATCCAGTTCTAGAGCTAACCGCAGCTTTCCAACGGTCAACCGGCAGTCTACCGACCCCAAACACTGGCATGCAACTGGTTTCTCTGGGGTGGTAGCTCGCCACACCCCTTAGAGGACACCCTCCCAAAAAACATCTGCTGTCCTACAGTTCTTCTCAATGCTAGTGCCCTAACTACTCCTAAAGTGTGGAGCGAACTTGCACAGCAAGCCATCAAACTCTCAGGTCATTAACATGTCATTAGTATATATTCTGAAGTAATGTACTGTAGAACCTTGATTATATATGATTATAATTGATTATATATATAATAGCTCCCCCATTTCGATTGTAAAGCCATGTAAAGCCTCTTCATATGGGACACGCACTTGTGGACTTTGCTTCTCGCCCCAACGACGAAGAGTGTCTCTCAAGCACCAAAACGCACATCAAATTTGTTTTGTCAGGAGTCAGGATGACTAATTTGATTGAGATCCCTTTTTCGTGTGATAGAGTATCAAACCATGCCTACTGAAGGTATCTGCTTCTCTTATGTCACTTCCCCTAGGTCGGGCGAACCCGTTGTGAACTTGGAAAAGGGGCGTGGCTCAACTTCAGAATGACATGGTGGGTTGCCAGGGAAGTCATTGAGAGCATTTCGGATGCATTGATATGTTTCGGCTCAATTTGGGGGGATCATTGGCCGGCACAGGGATCTTTGGGAGCCTGCTCTTCCTCTAGACCTGTGACCTGTGCTTGGGTAAGTGCAATAAGGCATGCATAAATCTAAGGGAGCACGGAGCTACCCATAATGCGCCTGGGTTTTGTGACACAGTTGATCAAATTCTTCGAGGTCGCATTCCTTCATTTGATCTGCAAGGGCATTTCCTTTACATGTGGAATGCTTTTCGAGTATCTTGGTGGGATCTAAATTTCAAGATACTAAAACAATCTAGAACAGCAAGGATCCCAAACATGCTTCAATTCTACAATCACATCCCAATGTGCTATGAGGTCCTCTGGGTTCAGGTCCGAACACCATATCTACAAGACATGGTATTTGCGCGATCCCTACGGCAACACGGGCGTCGACTCACGCTGTAGCTCACGTCGTGGCGTTCTGCGTGGCTCTCTCCGTGTCTACCGACTCTCCGGACGACTCCGAGGCCTCCTGCAGTACTTCAGCTTGCAAACCTCACCGACCCGCTAGACCGGGCGAGACCGGGCACGCGACGGTGTAGCGTTTGCTGTGGGTGGCGGTAAGGGAATGTTTCACTCAAGAATCTTGTGCAGTTTCACAGCGACAACGGTTGCAGGTCCACCACACTCCGTTCTCACCAGGTCAAGCAAATCTGTTTGCCCCAAATCTACCCATTGACGTTCAAGGGCTGCGGGGGCGACGGCAGCACCAAGCCAAAGTCAAACAAGCGAGGCGAAAAGGAACCTGCACATTTACCTCAAGCAACAGCAAAAAGCCAAGAAGCGTGCTTGTGACCCTGGAGAGAACAAAAGAAGATGCGAAGCTGTCGTTGAAATTCATTGAACAAACTCTAGCTTGCTTCAGACTTCAGACTGCCAAGAGAAAACTGGCTCCGTCAGCTTCCCCGAAGAACCGTTTTTCTGAAAGCCAAGGGCCTAGGGTGAAAGGTGAAGCCACTTTTTCTGATGCGAGTACCTGAGATACCCTAGATACCGTACTAGGGTCTGATACGCCTGAGATACCCTAGATCCTAGTACGAGTACCTCAGGTGTAGCCAATAACCCTCGCCTAGTACGCTGAGTCCTCGACGGGCTTCTTTGGCCTCCTTCTCAGCTCGTGGAAGTTGAACCTTCTCAGCATCCAAGCGCGCCTAGTGCTGTGGGACTGTGTCGGTGATGGTAGGAATGGGAATGCCTTGAATCCTTGAATCCTTGAAGACTGGACATCTGGGAAAAGCCAAAACAAACATGGCGAAACATTGCCACACCAAAATGGTCTCACCACCAAAGTCATGTGGATCCTGCTACATGTTTCCGCAAAAATGCCATCGGACGTGACAACACCAAATGTTCACGTTTGTGGCCGAACAGAGGTCTTCAACATCGCCATGATGCACGATGCTCAATAATTACAAACAGCGGACAGCAGACCAAAGTCAGCATTGCTTGAGGCCCGGCAACATCCTGCAACCGCAGGCAACTGCACAAGGTTCAACAGGCATTTCTTCTCCAATTCTCTGAGGCCTGCAGTTGCTGAGATTCTCTGGTCGCTGCCTGGGTGTCCTGCAGCGCTGTTGACCCGAAGAGCCCATCCGGAGAGAGACTTGTCTAGCTTCTTGTCAGTAGTAGCGATGGCCTCCAACTTACTTGCCATGGCCTCCATCTCTATATTGGCGTCCTTGCTACTAGTAGCTTCTTGTTCAGAGTCCGTGCAAAGTCCTAAGACTGAAAAGGCTCTCGCTGTTACGCTCTCTTTCTTTTGGGCCCGGAGCCGTTGGTACTCAGTACCCTTGATCGCGTGATCTAATGCAGATATGAATCTGATCGTTGTACACTGGAAAAAGGCCCATGCTGAGTGCGAAAAGACAACGCGAACTCTGAGGGCTCATGAAGAAGGCATGCTAGACAGCTAGCTGCACAGCTTGTCTCACGGTTCGCATGGAGTGGAGTTTAAAGCACCCATGAGCTGGTTCACTCTGCAAACGACCCTACCATGCCCCAGCCTCGAGCCCACCAAATACCTTGACCTCTCAAAAAGAGGATCGCACATGACGCAAATGACTGACCTTTGATGTTTCGACTCAATCTGGTTCTAGGCAAACAAACTGAATGAAACCTGGGCAGTTCTGCTCCACCGTTGGGTCCGTTGGGTCCGGGTCGGTCCAGGTCCCATCTTCCGTCCCACACGACGGCGACGGGGCGCTCCTCCAAACGCTTGGCACGTCGTTCCGTCTCCCACTCCTGGGAGCGTCACCAGACTGACCGGTCCAGTGCGACCGGCGAGCGGAGGTGAGTGTCGCCTTGTCCCCGGTTCGTCAGTTTTGGGGTCATGGAGTCATGTGGAGTCATGGGTGCATGAGTCTGGTGGTTTTGGTGCAGTCAAAGAGACACCCGTTATATGGATGAAATTGGGGCGATATGTTTACAGGCATTATGTTGTGCAAACAGATTCTAGACTCGCAAAACACTGACATTTCTTATCACACTGATGAGCCGGACCTATGTCATGCCGGACCTCGTTTTGGGACCTGAGGTGGCACCTGCTACGAGTGCCTGCAAGTTACTGTATCTGTCCCACCGGCTTGATGCATACTGCAAGGGAAAAGATCTGCTTTCCATTTGCCGGAAATGACATTACACTGCAGAGACAAAAACTGCGAGTAAGAAGAAGGATGAAGAAGGGTTTTGGGGTAAATGTCTCCAATATCTTGGAGGCTTTCCTTGTGTGTCGGCTATTCATGTACCTCTTCTACACTCGTTTTGGCATTCGTTCATCCAGCTTGGGAAGGGCCCCCGTATGATCCCATCTACCCCAAATCCAATCCCAGTGAAGATCTATGCTTGATCCACTTGACCCCAAAACTGCGAGGGGCGCAGGGCGTGATCGGATCTGCACGAGATCGGCGCGCTTGCACGCGCTTGCGCGAGCACTGCGCTTCCTTCAGGTACTTCTCCAGGCCTAAGACTTGACCCAGGATCACCTGAAAGCGACGAATCGGAAGCTCGGCAGCTCGATGCGCTTTCGCTCGATTCGCTTTCGACATCTTTCGACCAAGTCCGGACGACCGGAGTTGATCGGACGATGGTCTTTTCCCGTGTTGCAACGATGCCGGTCACAGCGTGGCAAAGCGTCGACGGAGAGGAACCAGCCATGAGAACATATGAGAACCAGTGCTCACAGGAAAGCCTTGCCTTGCACTCAAAGAAAGGAGTATATACGAATTACAAACTTGTGATTCAATTCTTTCGCAGTGCTGCGACTAGAGCTGCATATGGAACCAACTCTTCCACTGGACCGACCACTCGTTTCTTGGCACAAAATCGTTGCAAAGTATGAAACATGGGCCACTTGTGCAAAACATCTGCCCTGCACAAACACCAATAGCATGCAATTTAAAAAATGACCATGTCAACTCCAGGATTGGTCTTCAGGTCTGGACGGCTCTGATGGCCACCCCACTTGGCGCACCTGCATGTTCTGTGGCTTTGTGCTTGCCTGCGGAGAGCAAAACACCCAGTGTACCGTGGCAACTGTGTAAGCAGGAGACAACCAGCTACCTGAATGTAGAAGGGAATCAGCGAACACCTCTCATCACCTTCTTTTCATCGTATATGATTTCTGTGATGTTCCTCAAGCAAAGCGCAAAGCTATCTGTCCCAATTGCGGCCAGCTCTAAGCTGCAGGAAAGCTGGCCTCCTGAGGCTCCTAGACCGCCCCCCAAATGGATCCAAATGCGCAGGAAACTCCGCCCCTCCATCCCTCCTCGTCAGACGAGACAGCCGAGACGTCCACGAGGTCGTCCGTCTTGGACTCGACCTGGGAGACTTCGACCGCCGGCGGGGGCGGTCGGCGCACGGTCGCACCATCGTGAAGTGTGGAAGGCTATGAGAAGCGAAGAAGTTGGAATCACATTCGGGTCTTGGAAATGTCTTGGGCGCTAGGAAGAATGCCGTTCTTGACGTTTGAGACACCATGCAGGAAATTGAATGGAACTCACCACCGTTGTCCACCGCTGCGCCGGCAGGGCCTGCAATGCCCGCAATTCTGCTTCAGCCTGGCTGTCAAGTCGACCACTTGACAGCAAGGGCAAAGGACCACTCAAGATTGGTCAAAGTACAAGGCCTTTTGCCGCGCATAGCACCGTGACAGTATGCAAACAATGTGACGGATAAGACAATTTGTCCCTTCAGTCTCGAGTCCCATTCCAATCAGAACTTTCTTTTTGGACACATGCCTATCCAACTTACTCTTGAGACGCCGTGCCTACACATATTGGGCCTCGTGCAGGGCAGGAATCTTCATGTGAGTTTCATATGAAATGAAACCAATGAAAACTGATTGGGCTTGTGAAGAGTCTATGTCCACAAAACTCCACAAGGATTTGCCATGATTTGCCTATTATTTACGAGAATTCTAGCACTCTATAGAAGGTCAGAAGATAAGATAGACCTCAGCACCATCACACCCTCCTTCAAAGAGCCAGGCCGTCTTCCCAATAGGTTGGAGGCCATTGCTATGGAGGCCATCGCTACTAGGCTGGAGACCATTGCTCTTAGGTTCCTTTTGCTTTGGAGGCCATTGCTATCAATTTTGTTTTTCGGACCAAGGCCTCTTGGCCAACCCTCCATCTGCCTGGATCGCACGCAAGCGCCAGGTGCGACTCTCTTCATCTGCGTCCAGCAGCTCTTGCCGGAGCCACTTCCGAAGTGCCTCTTGCGTTGCGGAGCTCTGCGAAGGTTCTCCGAGATGTTCGGTCAGTCTCCCTTTGGTTGAGTCTCCGGTCAGTCTTGGATGTTCCAGGAGATCGTGTACCCGGACCGAAGCAACGAATCGCTTTATGCGAAGAGAGGGGAGAGAGGATGAGAGAGGTCGTATGGCTGCGCCGATGTTTGGTGCATCCACCATCGATGTGGGTTGGCTAGCAAACTGTTTGCTTCCATGTGCATTCCAAGTGACATGTCATATTTTCCGAGTACAGTAATCCATTGGCAAGACACTGAGTCACTGAGCATTGTGCAGCTTGACAGCCGTGGCACGATAGTATGCCATGCCCGTTAAAACATAGGTAAAAAGACAAAGGCTGTACTAAAAACCTAGAAGATCCTAGTATGCTATAGCATGTATGCATTTCACATGATTTTTCTTCTTGACGCAAACAGGGACCAATTGGGTGGGTTTGGACATTTAATCTTTGCAAGTAGCCCTTATTTCAGGAAGAAGTGCGCTCTTTTCGGACGGTGTGGAAACCAGTACAAGCAGCAACAACTGATGCTTGCTCTTCTTTCTAGCACTTCTGTTTTTGAACCATGATTGAATGAAGCCTACATCAGTCTCCTGCCATCTCCTGCCCATGTTTCTTGAGAGCCCTGATCTTGCCCCAAGGTCCAAGGTCACCATCAAAGCCTTTCTTCCTGCCCAATGCCCCACGCCACGCATATCCGACGATCTTGTGCCTCCATAGGTCTTGAGGGAGACAAATGGCGCACAGGTGGCAAAATGATTCCATGCAACAATCCACGGTTGCCCTAGGATAAGAATACTGGAATCTTTGATAATCTTTGATTCGTTGCAAGAAACATCAAGAAACCAACATGGCTACAACTCATCCAAGATGTGGTCGGCACAATGCAAGGCTGGTGAGGCTGGTGGGGTGTTGTGGCCCCAGAAGACGATTCAGGCAGTGCATGCGTCAAATGTCTTGTTCGGCCGTGCTGACTCTGGATGGCTCCCCAACGGTACGAGTATCAAGCAGTCTCATTCAGCCAAGGCAACAGTGGATCCACCCAAGCATGAGGTTTGTTGCTTGAGAAAATCACCTGCGTCCACAAAAAGGTCAAGCACTTGTAAACTTGTACTCCGGCTATTCAGAACCGCCCCAAAACACCGAAGCACCGGCCGGAGGGAAACACAAAGAACTCCTCTTACCGAGAAAAACACCTTCCGGTTTTGAAAGGGGGAACACTTGGCACCTGGGTGTTTTCCCGTGTGGGTCACCTGACTCGCACTTTGCCCACCGCAATCGCTCTCCTGTCCCCACGTTTGTGGGTGGGTTGCGTGAGACTCCACGGAAGTGGTCGACCATGATGTCGATGGCCCTTCGTGAAAAGCAATTCGAGAGCACGCAATGGCGATTGCTTGTAGAACTTCTTGTTCAAACGTCTCACAAGTTCTCAAGAATTTCTTCTGAAATGCCTTTCCATCGATCCCCAAGAACTCGATCTCACGCCAGCCCAAATGACCTTACGGTAAACCTGGCAAGCAACAGTCGCTGGAGGACTGTTCGACTCCCACACAACTCCTTCGTGATTTCACGGCATGTCAGCCTGTTGCATGACTGGTAAAGGCCTAAAGACATTAATATCCACAGCACAACACCTTTCTTTTGAAGCTCTTTTTCTTTGTTGATGATTGGTATACTCAACCTTTTTGCGGTCGGTTGCGCTTGCCGTCAATGGACGTCTAGAGACGAGCGCCTTTGCAGTGAAGACGCCTTTGGCGTTGATTTTTGGAATCCCCTCCAACTTCGGCTCTGCAAACAGACCTTTTGATTCTCTAACAACACCCAGGTTCAGACTAAGTGCAGCTAACCGTTAAACAAGTCGAAACACCCTAATTGATAACACCCTCCCTTTAACATGGAGGAAGTAACAAGGTCCCAAGAATCAGTGACTTTCAATGAACATCTGAAACATACCAACGCGTCCGGTTCGAGTCGAGTCGACACGACCGTTGCAAGCACATCCAGAAATGCTCAAACGCCACGTCTTCGATCTCAAAACAAGTGCATTCGCAAACGCCACTTGGCTTAAGACAACCCACCTCCCAGTTGGTCCACGGAACCATGGTTCCGTACGTTGATGAACTTGTTTAGAAGAAATAGTGCACCGGGAAATTCTTTTATTTTAGGGTGCAACAAAAACAGGGCGCCGGAGAGAAGGCACAGTGCCTTGTTTTCTCAAAACAACAAATAGATTCAAATAGTGTTCACCAGCCGAAACTTTTCATCAATGAGCAAAATCGTAAACATTGGCACCTCCAGGCCGTATTCTACCAATCCTAGAACTGCAGCAGATCTAATAATCCATGAAGTGCCAAAGCGGGGTCACCAGAGTGCTTGGTGCATGTTGGTGCCTTTTGAACCACCACGCCCATCCTCTGCTCTGTGCGCCTTAAATCTCTGGGCTTGACATCGGTGACACGACGACCTGACTGTTGCCTTGGATGCTCAGACTCAGCGTGGAACTCACCGTCCTTGAAATCCCATGTTCATCTAGAAAGTGAAAGAAACAAAGAAACGTCTACGTCATCTGAACTTGCACATGGTGATCAGTGATCATCCTATACTCACACCCATGCACGCTGCGGTGAACCTTCCGCAAGAACCACCACCTAAAACATGCATTCTGCCGTTCTCTCCTTTCGCTCACCGAACCGCTCGTCGTCCGTTGTCCGCTCCGGTTCCGGTGAGCGCTCCTTCGCACCCGCTCAGCTCGGAGCTCTTGGGCAGTGAGCGGCGCGAACGGCTGTTGCGGCTGCTGACGCTCCACTCGCTGGCGCCACCTGGGAGCGAGGTGGCGACGATCTGACCATGACGAAGCCGGTGGGATCCCTGCAACGATAAAGGTGAACCGAAATGTCCACCTATTCTTGTAAAAAAGACATACATATAAACCTATTCCCCAAAAAGGTTTTACAGGCTATCCACTTTTCCTGGGTAGGGAATCATCAGGGACTCACTCGTGACTACTCTGTTGATCTGTGCGTCTGGCCTGGAGAATATGGCCACTGTTGAGATACGGATCCAAATATGGATGATCCACATGGATGGACATGGGGGGGCGCACACTGAAAGACGTCTGGATCAGATGCATTTTCTCCAATCCATCTCCATCCGGAATTCATCCGTATGTCCATACGGATGGCACACCCCGCACTGCTTGAGGCGTCCACCGATCCAGGAGCCCGGTCGCCCGGTCGGTCGTGGTTTCGTGTCCACAGCTCGACGTCCCGGCCGAGGCGGACGAACCAGATCCATCAATAAGGCACTTGTTTCTAGTAGCTTATTGTTTTTAATAGCTTCTTGTTACTAGTAGTAAGGCACCTGTTACTACTAGTAAGGCACTTGTTCCTAGTAGCTTTTGTTGGAGCCATTCGTCACAAGACTCGTTTGATTCCCATCATCTACTTCACTAGACCTTCTGACCTTTGTTGATGGTCCCTAGTGTGTGTCTTTATGTCCTCACACACAAATGGCGAAAAGATCCACGACAAGAAACACCACGTGACATAACAAATTCAACAATTTGCTTGCAAGCAAGCCCATTCCAAGGTGAGAACAGTGACATGTTCTTGGTGGGCATCAGGACTAGTGCAATCATTGTGTTTTTCATTACTTATCTATCTATCTATCTAGCTAGCTATCTATCTAATCAAGTGTAAATTCCCCACGGTACCGGTCCAAGGGCCATGTGGTGCATCCACTCCAACCAAATGGGGGCAGCACTGCTTGGACACGCGGTTCCCGCTCAGAGAGTTCCGGGTTCTGGGGGCCAACTGGGAGGTGGATCTTCATGTCGTGAGGCCCCCCCCCCCTCTCTCTTTTCAACTGATCTTCCGGGCGTCCGACGGAAGTCCGAGATGGTGGTCTTCTCTGAAACGCTGGACTTCAGCTTGGGCAAAGGAGGCTGAAGCCTCGGCTAAACGGTGGTCTTCCACAACAGGCCATCAGCGCGCCGGGAGGTCTCAAAGCACATTCAGGAATTGTTGCAAACAATTGCACTTGGCCAAAAGAGATCGGGTAGCAAGTCCAAATGACAAATGAACACGTTCTTCAGAATGTTCCAATCATTAGAATTGTGGGCTCGAATCTAACGCATGCTGCACTCACCTAAACAATTTCCTTGGAACCTGAAGGACCTGAGCTACATCCAGTCCATCGAACACATCCTGAGTTCATGACTCGCCATCCTCCGCCTGCAAAGAAATGCAGCTGAAAGCACATTTCGCTGGAAAAGGCTTACTTCCCACAGACACGTCGATGTCATGGGAAAAGGAAAGACCTAGAGTAAAACCCATGGTTGGCGATGTCACCATGGTTATAATGTATGATAATTATACACACCCACCAAGTCGACCTCGTGCTCAATTCATGACCCTTCATGTTTACTCAAAAGATGTTCTTGCTGATCTGTCAAATATGCTGTTTATTTCGCCATGATGCGACACCTAAACTTTGCACCACAAACTCCAAGTCCTACACCTTCAAGGCCAACAAACTTTAAGAGAATTTAAATCCCGCCCTTTTAGACATCCGACCAAGCACAGCATCGTTTCCTATCACAGGTGCTTCCAAATGCCCTGGGTGGTTGGCGCGGCATGCTTGAAAAGGGTGAGGGAGTTGCGGTTCCTGTTCAGGTTTGCCAGGAGGAGGGTAGGTTCCAGTGGTTCCAATTCCGTAGCCGCAGTAACTAAACTTTGTAACTGGTCAATTGCTTTGGTGGGAGGGGGGCCTTCTTCTATTTTCAGCCTGTCTGTCGGTGTTTTTTTTTGATTCAGTGCCTCAACCCTCCAACTGGAGGAGAAGCGTCACGTTTCCTTCGCCACTCTTCCGACAATGCACTCAATGTGTACATCTGTTCAGTTTTCCACAGCAAAAAAGAACACTCCATGTATGAACTATATATTACCTATCTACATTGGGTTGATTTCAGGGGTTCAAAAACGGACGGAACTTGGTCCCGAATCCCCTCCGACCGTCCCTTGGAGCCCCATCCCCACCTTGAAGTCGCTCATGGGACCTGAAGGAGTTCGTTCGATCGGTGAAAGCAAGGGAAGAAGGGAAGAATCAGGGAATGACCATATAGTAATTAGTCTACCTATATAATGCAAGTATAGACGTCCCTCTATAGTAGACGACTTCTATAGAACTTTCGTGAAATCCATATGCAAGTCGTAGACTTCTATGGACATGATTCACGAAAAGGGAATGTGAAACAAAAGATGTGTGTTATATAATATGTATGTCCTAGATGTACAAAAACATCCATTTCGGGGAACAAGCATCCAACCAAACACACCTAAATACGAGATAAGTAGACAACAAATCATAACAAATCAACAACAAACCACAAGCCATTTCAGCAGTCCTTCCTGCCATTTCAGCCACAACAAAAATCCTGACTCTGCATACGACTCAGCGTATGACTCGGTGTCTGCGCTGAGCCTTCCGACTCAGCTGCGATGAGACATCGCGCACGCGCCGCGTGGGGCTGGGCCCTGGACGCGGAGGGTGGACCGGACCCCGCGGTGGACGGTTCCAATCGAAGTGAAAACGAGGTATGAACAAGAAGCTACTAGGAGCAAGTGCCACGCTAGTAGTAACAGGTGCCTTACTAGTAGTAACAAGAAGCTACTAGAAACAAGTGCCACGCTAGTAGTAACAGGTGCCTTACTAGTAGTAACAAGAAGCTACTAGGAGCAAGTGC